ACCTCACATCTGTACATGGCTGAGTCGTACGCTTCTGTCTGATAGATGTGCAGGTGCCAGTCGTCCTGTAGCACCTCGAAGCGATCGTCGTTGACCATGCGATTTTTGTCGGCGAACAATAACGTCTTCTCTTTGTCGTTTACCTTGAACCACGTCACTGTATATTCTCCTGAAACACCGCCCATTACTAACGATGCGTAGGTTATACAAATGCCAACTTACCCAAATTCTCTACGTCACAAGGAAGCTCGGCGTGAGCACCTTCTAAGACGCTAACTTTACCAGGCTTACTGACGAAAACTGGCATCGAATCGGTGGTGCTTTCTGCCACGGCTGAGAATAAAGCCGACCATCGTGTCACTAAAAAACAAAGTTTATTTTTAAAATTTGATTATCGAGTAAAAACAAACGAACTAAGAGACAAGACTGAGACACATTAACAACGTCGGGAGAAAAACGCAAGAACGGTACGTGGAACAGATATCGCCAAAAAGCTTAGAGCAGAGGAAACTAACTGTGAGTTTTGACAAAGGACTCCTATCCTGAAGTCAAAACAAGAAATGCACAGAATAACAACGCTACGGTTACTGCTACAGTCATTGTTAATGGGCACAGATGCCAACGCCCCTTACCGAATTACCGTTTATGGTGTGGTCCACGTCCCACACAAAAAGTCAGTTTCTTTGAGTATTTATAAAGAGAGGTTTCTTTCCTTCTTCCCCATAATAAACTTATCGAAACATACATTTGAAATATCTATCGAAAGTTCAGCTTCCGGACTGAAAAGCTATCTACAGTCCGCCTCAGAGAAGCAGAAAGCTCCGGTATTGCCCAATTATACCATTTTGAGGGGCATTCCTTCACCTATACACCAGGGTGTCTATAACTGACAGAGATTACTGTAGAATAGATGCTATGATAAAGGAATCCCTTGATATTTTTGCAAAGAAGCATCAACTGTGCAATTAATTCTTTTATTTTATCGTAACAAGCAAAAGCTATGGAGTTATCACAAATTTCGTACAAACTACTGACCGAAGACTAGGATAAGTCATTGCCGGCCTTATCAATTGTGTACGGATGATGATATCATTCGCTTTCTTCTTGCAATCTGCTCGAACTTCCTCCAAGACCGGCTCTGTGGCATCACATTAATGATATACTTTCAACTAAATCATCATCATATTTAGGACCATCATCTACACCTTGTTCTTTATCATTCTCTCAACTTGTTCTATTTTTTGTTTTTATTGCATTTATTTTTCTATTTGCAGATCATCGCTGATGCCGTGAGTGACTATTCTCCTCAATCTTCTTGTTATCATTCATCCATTCTCATGCTTCTTAAGTTTTTTCTTCATGATTCACAAAAACGTTCTTCAGCGGTCCGGCTGTTTGAAAAGATTATCGCATCCATTTTAAGAAGCTCCTCTTCTATTTCTTCTTGATCTTAATTATGCTATTCTCGCTGTTCTTGTTGTTTCTCTACTTGTTCTTGTTCTGATTCTCTCCCTTGTTTGTCGCTTGAAATGTATCAAATGTTTTTATCTTCTCCTTTCTGCTGTTATTTATGGATTTCTCCATTCTCTATCTTAATCAATTTTCTTAGTTTTTTCCCTAGTTTTCTTCTCTTGCTCTTCTTTTAGTTTTATGAATATTTTTTCTCTCTTCTATCTTTGTATCTGTCTCCTGCTCCTCTGTCGCTTCTTTACGTTATTTTGATTTTGCTCTTTGGTAAATTCTAGTTTTCTCCTTCTTCTGGCCTGATTTTCATTCTTCTCTTGACGTTTTTTTCACTCCCTCTTGTTTTTCTTTTTACTCATTGTCTCTCTAACTTTCTAAACACTCGTTTTCACGGTTTCCTTCCTGTTTATTAGTTTTGTTCTCTTCTCCATCTTGTTTTTATTTTTCTTACAGTTTGCCCCCTTGTTCATCTGCCTTTAAGCTGTTTTCTTCTACCTATTCTGGTTTACATCTTTTTCTTCATCTTCAACCTCACCTTTTTCTTCTCTTGTTCCACCTTTTCTTATAATTCTACTTCATCTTGTTCCTTCCTTCTAACGTTACCTTCGCTCTTTCATGTTTATCATCAATTCTTGTTCTCCTCCTAATCTGTTCTTATTTATCTTTCCACTTCCTCATTTTTGTTTCTTTTGTCCTCATATTTTTTATTCTTGCTGGTTCCCTGCTCTTCTTTAATTCATTCTTCGTCTTCAACATATTCTTGATGTTCTCCTTCTTTCAGCTGCTCCTTTATCTTCGATTTCGCTTTTCTTCTTCCATCTGGCTAATCAGGCAGCCGAATTCCGTTTAACCAAAATCCCCTAATTTCTCTGCATAAGATAGGTCCGTGTTGGATGTGACTGGTCCCAACATACGGTATTACCGCATAACAACATTTCCGACAGTTCCGACATTCGATAGTAGACATTTTACCATGTATGCAAACGAGGCTATATGAAATTGACTCCAGTTCGATGGCACAAATCGCTCGTTTCCTACAGGCTCGAAAATCAAACGAAAGAAATCGACTGACAGAAGCTGAATTCGGCGGATGTCACAAACGGACGATCGGTTTGTTGGAGAAGACAGCAAAAACACTAACGAGGAGATCATTATTGAATAGTCAAAGAAAAACGAGTCAAGAAAAAACAGTCACGAATGTTCTTTATGCACGACGTCGATCAGAAGAATCTGCGCTTTCGGGTGAGGCAACGACAGGAGTTATGGTGTCTTGTGCCTCAAAGCTCGGGCATGACAAAGTGAACGGGAACGACGTGATACGAAGGAGCCACTTAACGCAAAGACGGCCGCGGCAATAACCTAACCTGACAGCATCAGTTATGAAGCGCATTCCGTGTGCACTTGGTGCTGATCTGATCCGAAGGCGGTGATCGATGGGTTGGATTTGTTGAAACGAAAAAAGCTCATCGCAACAGTTTCGTGCCCTAAAAACTCCCCGGGTTGACGAGCGGCCACACCAGAGCTCGCAGCCCCACACTAAGACAAAACAAAGGTCTCCGAGTCATCCATCACCAGAGGAAAAGAACGCTGAGGTCAAACGTAAAGCCTGTCGAAGATTGCAAATTTACAAAAGAAGTCCGCTAAAATTGATAGAAAATCAACAAACACCCACATTAACTATGAAAAATGGTAGCAAAATGGATGGCCGTTGGTCGACATGCTTCATAAAATGGCTTAATTTCTTATCACGCAACAGAAGGATAGGAATATGGAGGATAGGCCATGAACCGGCACTGATCAAGAATCACTCATTTCGGCGCCAAACACTAAGCTTCAGCCGTTCGTTGTAACTATTCCTTAATTCTTGCCACATCAAATAAGATCAAATCTGATGCTCATCACATATGACAACGATGTCGATCTATTAACTCCAGTTACCGTAGCTTTCTTCAAGAAAACTAATGGGCCTAACATCGAATTGGAATGCCACGAATCATTATCATAAATGGCAAGTACCCAAGGGGTAATCGTCATCACATGAATCCACACGCAGCTGCGTAAAATCATTCTCTTCTGGGAAACAGAAAATGGCCACAGGCACATGGGAGAACTAACACCGAACCCTGAAGCAGCCGCGAGCGGCGGACTTGTTTGAGAGGAGGAATATTATTTTGCCGCAGAAACCAAAATCACCTAAATCACTCTGAGAAACCAAAGAGCATCTAACATTCTTAATATCGCAACTCGACCTTTAGTCCTGATATTCCGAGACATCTGCTGGACGATGGCAACAACACATGCAACCCAAGGCTATTCTCTTCATGCAAATTATAAGGAAGGTACCGTTAGGTCTACACTGAAACCATACGAGTTAATGTACATGTATGTACATCGTGAACAAAATGTATATTAGACAGCGACCCTAGAGGAACAAGGTAAAAGCATATGTGGCTTTCAGAAAAGAATGTTTTTTCTATGATGAGGTAGCAGGTTCTTTTATTTCCACGAAAAGCTGCGGATACAACAGACATATTTCGTTTATAAGCTCTACATTCCAAAGTTTACCGTTTCTTGCTTTCCCTGTGATTATGTAAGAGTGGATACTATCCATAACCGAACCGTCCGCGAAAACGTCACGCGAACGAGATCACGAAAAGGACTTCCACCAGACGGCACGCGAATCTAAAGCCGCCAGTGGTAGCACCCGCAAGAAGGACCGAACCAAGATAAAGCTAGATGTTTACCTCAACTTAATTTAGTCAGCACCAAAATTCCTTAGAGTCATGGGGGAAAATAGAGTTAACATTAATGCATAGTTAACAGCGTGAAACAAATTCTCTCTTAATACAAATTCCACATAACTGTACAGACCGAATTATCATCGATCATCATCCCAGAAAGCTTCTTGATCATTAGCGTGATTTGAAAGGTTACTTTAAAAAATCAGTAGTTAATTAATTAGTGACTGCCGATCGAAAATCATCACGTTTATGGCAGTAGGTCATCATAATCAAACAGCGCTAAGATTTTCAAAAATTTCACCGATGTCCTGAAGCTCAAAATACTATCCAAGAGCGAAAACATTCATGATCCTCATCGCTGCGACCCCGCACCAACCAACGCCTGTCTATCAAACATTCATAAAGGGGAAACAGCTGATCTGCTTAACATCGATCGACAAATGTCAAACCTGAACAGATGAGGTACAATATTTCATGCATCACTTGAGCTCGACGAACAGCTCGTTGTGAGCCATTACGAGCGAGAGGCAGCTGAAAAGTTACCAACTCTTTACTCCAGCAGAAGCTAATCGTTCTTTCGCTCAATTACTCATTTTTTTCTTTTTACAGAGAACGGCTTCTCGTCAGGTGTATTTTATGACACGCAAGAGTCGTCATCGCCGTCAGTCTGTCTAACTCGATTGTTTAAGCAAACAACATCGTCGGTCTTGCCTCATTGATGTTCTTGCTGTCCACTCGTTACTTGGTGTAACAGAAAATCGACTTCGAACTACAGAGGGAGTGGAGGGGGGTTGAGTCCACTTATCGGACAATCTTTTATCTTTACCGCCAGTATGGCAGTGATCCGACATTATTTCCGCGCAACTGACAGAGAAACAGGTAGTCAGTCGGTTATGAGGAATCATATGAACAGGCAGCATATATTCTGATGCGGTAATGCTACATAATGAGCGAGAGGTACGATCATTCTGTCTGATGCAAACGCCTCACAGGGCTACAATTTGCCTTCAGTCAATTCATAGCTACTTACTGAATATGATAATCAGCAAAAGTTCAAACAATGTCATTATCATTGTAGTGGATTCAGTACCGAAGTTCTTTAGGTCTGTCTAGACATGTTGAATCGGTAAAAGCGGCGACCACAGGTCCTGAACCTGGTCGAATTAAAATGAAGACTTATCGGCCGATTTTCAGAAGGAAGTGACATTACTTCGCCTGTGTGATAACAAAACAAGGAAGAACTGCAGCAGGCAAAAACAGGAGAATGGTCGCAATCATCCAACAAACCATTATACTATGTTGTTGTTAACAGACCGATCTTTATGTTGTTTTTCGCTACTGTTGCACTATTTTTGCTCACATGTACTGTGATTCTGTATTTAACAGAAGGAAAAACAAGAAATAATCATTTAATAGCCGCCCGACGTTTAAAATGACCTGGCTTCAGATCATCCCCAAGGAATCACTCCCCAACGATCGCCGATGCCACATCGGACGAAAAATCGAATAGCTATCAAATAAATAATTTTTGGTAGTTCCTTACGCTGCTACTCACTGAAGCACAGCACGCATAAACTTTACGCAAGTAATCCAAAGCGCAATGTCGATAAGAGTTTATTTAAATAGTATTTTTAATGTACTGTCTATCGAATTATCATATCATCCGACAGGCCATTATGGGCACTGTATGCTGTACCGACATTATGCTGTTTTTCTGATGGTGATTCACTGGCTAAGAAGAAGAAAGAAACAACGCTAAATCATTTAATTAGAATTAATTTCAATAAATTTATGTTTCGACCGATCTAGCATCGGTCATCATCATGGAATGATTAATTTTTGCTTGTTCCTTCTGCCGCTAACCATGGACTCACGGCACGTATCAACTTCAGGCAAGTGATTCGGTCAAGGCGCAACGTCGATAGATAATAATGTTACAAATTGTTATTAATGTACGTTCAACGTATCACCTCAATGCCAATACTGAGGCTGCGATCCACAGTCGTTGTGTAAACTCTTCATTCGGTCAGACGACGGAAGTTGGTTTTTCTAAGGTGAGCTGAGCCATCGTCTGCCCATGTGCCGCAAAAGGAGAGTTATTGGTTCCTCTGAATTACCGTCATCAGTCGTAAGGAGAGTTTGAGTAAAGTCGATAGAACGTGACTGATTTACGTGGTTTAAACGGTTTTCAGCATCTGACAATAAATCCAAATTATTTTCGGCTCAGAGTGGATAAGTTCGAAAAGATAGGCGGTCTGTAGGACTTGAGGATAAAACTCAATTATGCTGATCGTAATTAATGGATAATCAGCTAACCTGTAGCGCATTGGCGACCGAAAAGGCTAAATCAAATGCTGCGTCGTTCATTTTCATCGGCTGAATCACTGAGGCAGCGTTAGATTAGAAAATCAGTAGTACTGCTGAGAGATGAAAGCAGTTTTGCTGACTCCAGTTAAACCAGCTTTGCTGAGTCAAAGGAAGCTTCGTAAGCAATGAGGCCGCAAACAAAACAAGACGTGTGATCACGAGAAAAGTTGAAAAGAAGCCGAAGCTCAAGTAGGAGTAAAATGAAAACTTCTGCTTCTGTAATACCAAGCAAGTTATTGACTGTCGCATATGACAGTATATATAACCGTGAGGTGTCGACGAGGCTGGCATTGCATATACTACAGAACATAATCTATTAAACCAAAAAGCAAGAGCTGTGAGGTGAAAACCTGTATAAAACAAGGATCAATTTGCTACCGAAGACTTTTCTGGTAGTATTTCATCAGTCTGCTTTAAGGTAGATGAGGTAAGTGAGTCTCGGACGTCATTGTTGTCGTCTGCAGCAGTTCATACGAGCGGAGCAAGGTTATGCTTATGTATCG